CAACACATACTGCTGCGTTGTCAGCCTTCTCCTTCTCGTTCCATTGGCGGACAATTTTTAGCAAAATTAAAGTCCTTCGTCGCTCAGTACTTTCGTCCGCCATATTGAATACACTACGTTTAAAACATTTTCCGCTGGCCGACATACCCGACAGTATAAATTCTGAATTAAGTGCGACACAAGTGCGACGTATGAATCTACAGTCGCATTTCTGCCGCACTTAATTGAATTGAATTCGACACGGCAGAAATGCGACGTATGAACCGGGCCTTAGCCGTCGTTGGTTCACGTTCTCCAGACAACGCAGAATTTGGTCATTACACGTTGTTGTCTTGCAAAGGACGGCAAAGAAATGTACCAAGAATTATAACGCACGTGCACAGCCATTGTACTGCTGATTAATTCTTTTGTTCAGTGATGTTCCCGCTGCCGTTGCCGTCGAGGTTTCGTAAAATTCCCTATTACTTCTCAGTTGTTCCAGTTCTCCGCCTATTCTTCGGCGCATGAGGTTGTCTTACGACACAGAATGGAAAAAAAAATTGATTGACTCAGAGTACCTTCACTTTGAAAATGATTCTGAAGCTTTTGTTGATAAATCTGTCCCACGACAGCAGTTTTGGGAAATAGGGAGTTTAGGAAAACCACAACGGCAACGGCAACGAAAACGTCGCTAAACAAAAAGTTTAATGAGCAGGACAATGGCTGTGCAGGTGGGTTACAATGGCCGTTTTTATACTAGAGGACGCATTATCCGTCCAGAAGGATTATGCGTCCTCGCCGTTTTTATACTAAACACGCGTTATCCGTCTGGACGAACTTGGGCAAAGACTTGTAGTTCGTCTGGTTATTCGTCTCTAGTATAAAGACGGGCACAAGAAGTATTATGCGTCTAGACGAACTCTCTCTCCTAGTGCGTCGTTTAAGACAAATTTCTAAGTATAGTTCGTCTAGACGCATAATACGTCTTGTGCCCGTGTTTATACTAGAGACGCATAACCAGACAAACCACAAATGTTTGCCCAAGTTCGTCCAGGCGGATAATGCATCTTTAGTATAAAAACGGGCGAGGACGCATTATGCTTCTGGACGGATAATGCGTCCTCTAGTATAAAAACGGCCAATTCCTTGCCGACAGATTTCTTTGCCGTTTTTTATAACTGAAACAACAGCGCGAAGCGACCAAATTCTGCGTTGCCTGGAGAACGTGAACCACGACGGATGATTCAGTTTTGAAATTTCTGTTTCGAATTTAACGCCGTGTTCCATATTCATTTTCGAGATAGTTGACAAAGAGAAACAAACTACGTGACTTTAGAGTATCGCGAGATTCGTAGGTAAAATATAGGTTCGTTTTTTAATGGACGTTGTCCTCGGCATCGTCGTCCTGGGTTCCTAAACTCCCTAATATAGAATGAGCACGTACGCTAAAAATATGTGAGAAATCTGAGGGCAATGGTAATTTGTATGATAGTGTAGTTTGATTTTTATCTGTGGTCTATGCGGGAAAATAATGAGATGTCCAAAAGCTAAAACAAAACAACAGCCTGGCTCTACTGAGATTAAAAAAAAAAAAAAATAGACCAGTGGGGTATTTAATCACAATAACTTGTTTTTTGACCGAAAGGACGACTTATTGTTACTGCTTTATTTGTGGAAAGAGCGAGAGATATTTCGAAACCACTGCGCTTTCTTATCAAAAATGTATCAGGAAAAATGCCGTAAAAAATAGCAGCTAGCAGCCGGGAAGACCGCAAAATTTCCGAGTCTAACTTTTTGAATAAAGAAACCAGTTAGTTCAAAGTTCGTTATCACATCGTAGGGTTTGTTTATCGAAAAAGAAAAAAATTTACACCTCGAATGCAATCACCATTTATACGGCATAGCACGTACCGTATAAAATGATCATGCAACGTTGCACCTTCACAAAAGTAGTAGCATGATTACGCAAAGCATCGTTTGGTCTAAAAAAAGATAAACGAAAAGTAAATAAACAACTTGAAACCATCGCTAATGTTCAAATCGACAAAAATGACAGTCGTAATGCGTTTTCTAATAAAACTACACCAACTCTGAAACTTGACAACTCTGATTTGGACGCCATTAACTGTTTACCTAAACAGCAATTATTCAAACAAGTAAAGGCGATACCTGAATAATAAATCAAGCGCTTTTGTGTCCACGACGAAGAGAAACGAAACTAACTCATATTGATGAAATATTTTTCCTGGAGCAATGTAAATCTCACCTAACGTGCCTCCCTCATCGCTTCCTTGAGTGGGCAGGGTTGCCATCGCCTTGCAATAAGATCATTGACTGCGGGATAGTCGGGAAGCTATAAACTTCTGTTTCCCGGGGAATTGTTCTCTTAGGGAAAATGCTGCAGATTCATTCAAAAACCGCATTCTTTTCTACTTTAGTCAGCCGGGAAAATATATGGCAGTCTCCACCGCGTATATGCCTCTGTTTTAGTTTTGTTTTCAGCCTATTTCATTCACTGAAAAATGATTGTGATGCTGGACTGCTTCCGTGGGACATCGTCAATACACTCAGGCAAGATTTGCCCAACTCTTACAAGATTCAGTCACTTTGTACACAAATATCAACCTTTAAATTGATCCAAATTACTACAAATAATATCAATAGTTTCAGGTTGCAGTAATAAATTTCAATCTTTTGAATTAACACCAAAAGACTTCGTCTTGGTCCGGCAGACTTTATACTGTAACGAACTTTTGAAGTTTAACTCCATCTTTGTTAAAAGTTTGGAATCTTTTTTATTTTAAAAAGTAAATTTAAAACATAAATTTTTCCTGAAAAACGCTATTATATTTGATTTATTCTGACTTAAATTTTCAAAATCGTGTATTTGCTATCTTTATTAGCAACGTTGAAACTAATAAAATTTCCGTATTTTCTCAGGGGCGAAGCAGTAGCCCAGGGGCAGCACCGGTTATCGCTAGAGGTTTATAGTTAGATGGGTTACTGACGCTGCATATGTCATCTCCTCTCGAGTGAAGAGTAAAGAGTAAAGAGTAAAAATTTACTTATATAAGTTAAATTGCAGCGTCAGTGATCTGTAAAACAACGTTATCGACAAATCCCTGATTGAAATGGTAATTCCTCGCTCGATATTCCATTTTAATATAAAGTTATAAGTGAGTACTCATTAGCTAGTATTCTTAACACCGAAAGTATATATTTAGGGTGTGCCATAACAGGTACCTTCAGATGCTACTTCAGTATTCCCTGCTGATAATTTAAAATACAACTTTTAGAATTCCAATTGATTGCATGCTGACTCACCTGCTTTGAAAGAGCCATGCTAGCCTACATAAGCGTTTTTTAAAATAATAGAAGTCTCACTTTGAGATGTCGTAGTTCACCCTGTAACTGACTCACTCAAATGATTGTATTTTCGCGGGGGAAGAAATTCTAAACCCCATCCGAGCCAAGAAAACAAAGCATGATTGACAGATGAAAACCAGTTGGACGGGGATGACATAATCATGCGTCCTCCAATCAGCAGCGTCAATTATACAATTTTCAGACCTCAATCCACACAAATAAGTGATTGTGTTACATAAGATAACGACATGACGTTGCGAATTCACGTGTTCCGCCTGCATGTTCACGTGTTTTTATCTGGGGCCCTAAAGGAGTTTAGTCACGGCATTTTGAGTTATTTTGGTCACGTACAAAATTACCTTTAAATTGAAGGAAACCTGAAAATAGTCAGTTACTAAGATAGAAAAAACACCAAAGGGATAATAGTAAACCATAAAGGAACAAATTGGTCGAGGATATAGAAGATTAACACGGATTGCAAACGATGAACTTGAAAACTTTAGGCTAACTTTTTAACATGCGCAAACCGTGGCGTAACTCCTTTAACTCGGAAGGAAGACACGTCTTAGTATGCAGCGGGAATCTTCTCATAAATACTGATTCAGGAAATCCAAACCTACTTGTCCGCATATGAATAATTTACCTAAGCCTACCTTGGCCTTACCTGGGCCAAAACGGTCGGTCCCTTTATGACCTCTCTATAACTACTTTGGCGCCAGAACAAAGCACTGTGTGACGAGAGAAGTTTGTTTATTCAGGTAAAGAAGAGAGTTATTCTACACCAAATAATAACTTCCTGTTTCATTTCCCGTAAGTATTACCTTTTCCTGTTACTTTGTTTAAACATATTACTTCAAGGATTCATTAAATATTTCAAAACTATTTTACAGTAGACCCGTCTTCTGCGTTTACTTTGAAACATCGCATGCAGCGAGGCCGAGTGGTTAGGGCGCCGTACTTGAAATCCGGAAGTCACGGGCTCAAGTCCCGCTCTGACCTCTAAGCTGGAGTTGTTTCTTGGTAGACCCAGTTCAACTCCTCAGTCATGCTTGTAAATAGCCAACTGACGTGCCTCCCGCCATTAAGTTGATATATTTGTTTCTTTCCGTTTAAGTGGCATGCCTGTGAACTAGCTAGGCGTAGCTAAGCGCATTGACCACTATAAACAACAACATTTTGAACATCGTTTTTCCAACATTGACGGTCATAATTATCCTCTCGGTCCCACGCCTCTACAGATGACATTTCATCTGGCGATTCGAATAACCGGAGCCTTTTCAAACGCTCAGACCACGAAACTGAAAACAGCCTCATTAGCAAAGTTCCCGACTGCAGAATGTTTTCCGACTACACAATATCTCCCTTTTCATGTCCTCTACTGTTTGATTCCCTCTGTATATGCCTCTATAAATAATAATTAAGACTCCGGGGCCACAGGTCCAAGGTTTATATGCAGTTTGTGTTTCAGTGTTACGAGTTGTTCCTCTGACTCCTGGCCGCCTCGCACCAAAGCTGTAGCTATATGCTTGTAATCGTACTGCATAACCACCGAGAACTGAAAAGAAAACAACAAAAAACAGGGTCAAGAATTTACTAAACTTAGGGTATTGCACCGAGCTTCACAACCCCGCTTCCGCAGAGGCGGAATTAAAAAAAAGCACATTTCTAAGTAAGGTTTCAAGGCTTAAAGTTGACGCTTTCATTTCGTTAGGGGCCTACAACTTCCAATAAATCTTTAAATCACAGAAGCAGACACTCACAGCACAAAGGAACAGAAAGAGGTTACGATTTGTTACCATGTAATACAATCATTTCTTTGTAGATTCAAAAACGTAAGTGGCTAACACCCCCCCCGCCCGGATTCTCTCTTATGATCTTATCCATCGAAAGGATCCGTACATGAACTAGGGCAGCAATGGCCTAGTGCGTATTCTCTAATTAGTACAGCAATCTCAAGGCAATCTCAAAATGTAATGTCACACACCTTCACATCACCTAATGTTTTTTTGGGCACCACTTTCACAAGAAACCACAACTTGTTTGCTTGCCGATTGACAACAACTCTGTTGAAAGACAAAATCAGCCAACAATTCAGTCAGCCTATAAGGATAAGTAACAAGAAATTCAAAGCGAGTTTAAAAAATTCGATTTTTGTTAGCTTATGCTTAATCTCCAACCTTGGATCATCATTAAACATCTCGGCAGTAGTAGCGGAGTCCATTTCATCAAATTCAGCCGCCTCGTCACGTGCTCCCAACATGAGAGGGAAGGTGGGGAGAATGACCTAACAAAATAACAAACAAACAAATGAAAAAAGAAAAAATCAAATATACTGTAGATCGCCAGATCGCACATTACTTGCAAAAAATTTCAGACTTAAAAATTTCGGTCGCTCAATTTTCGGACACCTTTTATCTTATTCCGGACAAATTTCGGACAAAAATTTCGGACACATTTTGGAAACCTCCTAAAAGTAAATTTGCGCCGACAAATAACGAATCAGACTGAAACAACATCAGTGAAAATGATAGTTTCGTTTTGCAGATTGACAGACCGAGAAAATAGCAAATTCTATCAAGCCGATACATGTCTCAAACAGTGTCTCAAATAGAGTTCTCTCCATAAAGTAAACTAAGAGTTTTGGAGCTTCTTAACGATTTTACACTGTACTGTAAATATTTCGGACGGTTTTATTTTCGGACGCTTCTTGTGTCCGAAATTAAAATCGTCCGAATTTTTTCAAGTAATGTAGTCTAGTGACGCAGATTTCAAGAGCAGTGCTCTAAATCATTTGGCCACACTGCCTCCCAGAACATCTTCTTTCTAAGCAAACAATTCCCTATAAAGGCTCCGTTGTACATGAGTGTACAGCGAGTATATTACCTCAGCTGTAGGCACAAACGATCTGCTCTCACAGCTGTTATCAATGCTGCGACCAGGCTTCTTACTCGCAGCCACTCCAACATGGCCGTCCTTCTTGCTGTCTTTCTCAGCAGCTTTTTCTTGTTCTGCATCACTCTTCTCTTTTGTTTTCTGTTCATCGTTCTTCTCGTCCTTGTCTTTTTCGTTTTCGTTTTTCCTTTGTTCTTCTTTCTCACTTTTCTCATCGCACTTGTCAGCATTTTGATCTGGCTTGATCTCCTTGTCCTGTGCATCACTTTCCTTCGAGCCATCTTTCTGATCTTGTTCAACTTTCAACAAAGTGACTTTTAATAAATGTTCCACAGGATTTGTCAGAGAAAGGGTCACCTGAGCTTCCTGCAACCACAAAATAGCACAACAATTATACACACTGAATTCTTCTTCGATAAGAAAATTCGCAAAAATATAATTCAACGTTTACGTAATTAACAAAGACTGACAAAATAATCAAAAACATTTCACAAGAATTTTAAGATGGTTCAAACAATTCAAAAACAGATTACTCACCTTTCCAAACCTCAGGACAGGAACATTTGAAATTCTCAACATAGGTACATAATACCTGACACAAGAAAACCACAAGAAATAGAGTTAATCATAAAAATAGTTTCAGTGGCTGCAACGTTACACCTTTCCAGTAAAAACGTGATTATTATAACCTGCCATAGGTCCGCAATGCGTAAAATGAAATAGAGCCAAAAATAGCCAAGGATTACAAATTTTTCTTTCCCTTTGAAGACCCTTTGACACCTTCTCCACAAAGTTTGCAGTCATTTTTGAAAATGTGAGGTCATGGAAGGTGGATACTTCATGCCACCATTCGATGAAGTGTGTGTGCGAAGGAGAACCGCTGACTAAAATGACTTTACATTCAAACATGGTGGCTGATAATATGAACAGTGCTGAATGTGGTACACAAACAGCTATGGACAAACTTCATTTAACAAAGAAATGTTACAAGACTGTCAGTAACTTTGATTTTGTATTGTTTCATTAGTAATCCAACAATTTTTGACTGGCAGAAAACAAAATTCTGATGGACATTTCTGGACTCTACGTTGGAGTCGAAGTGACTCAGTGTAGATAAATATTTGGCGCATTTGTGCCCTCAGCGCTTCCTGTGTCTCCAGACTGACAAAACATTTTTTTAAACAAATGGTTGCTAAAATATATCTGGTTCAGGGACAAGTTAGAATAACACAGAATCAATTTACTTACACTGCTCCTAGTTGAATCTTGAACTTAATTGATGATGGGTTGAACTCTGGTTTACTGAGATTGTGTTCACATTGCTGTTTAGAGAAGAAAGAATAAACCTACATTAAGCAATCGCAGCTTAGATTGAAAACACTAGTCATCTAGTATATATTACAAAATTCAGTATAGAAGGTAAAGGTTTAAGTTTGTAAATGAACCAAGTGGCCCATCAGGCAGGTGCTTATCCCAGTTTCAGTAGCGGAAAGCAACTAAGAGTATTTCTGCTCCCCCCTGGATGGGATGCTAGTCCATCACAGGGTTGCTCCCCAGCATTAAGTTTGCCAGAACCCATTTATAGACCAGTGTGAAGGGGGCAACTGTGAGTGTGTAGTGTCTTGCACAAGAACACAATGCAATGTCCTCAGCCAGGGCTTGAACCCGGACCACTTGATCCAGAAGCAAACACACCAACCACTAGGCCACTGCAACTCCACAAAAAATATGGAATTTAGATAATAATTTTCAATAATATATTGTCTTACCCTACAGCGTTGTGACCTCTTTGCCAGGAGATGCTTGTGTCTTGGGTGAAGATCACTGTATGTGTTATTAAAAAGAATCACAATTTATATAGCATGTATTGTCAGACGAGGGATGTACAGGGGGGTCTCTGGGAATGCTCACGAATGGATTAGACTTCTACATTGTCATGAGAGCTATGCTGGCAGGGTCTTAAGCTACAGGCAGATTCAACCAAACCAGACAGATCTGGGGGGAGAAACCCTACAAAAGACATCTCCTGGCCCACCAGGTTAGCATTTGAACATGGGGCTAACTATCAGGCACCATTTTAAAAACCTTTGCTACAGAAACTGTTGACTCATCCTTGCACTGGAGGTTAAGAAGATAAGTGAGTGCGAGAAATGTTAGATTGGCATGACATACAAATCTTAAACATGGCACACAACACTAATTTAATTACTTGCCAACAATAGAGCGGTTTTCAATTGAGTGGCGAAAGTAATCAGACAATTACTACTTTCCTTTTGGTTTTGGTTTTACTACGGTTTGAGATTGGCTGAGTCGTCTAATTGGCAAGTACCGGTAATTGGTTTGGTTTTGGTTTTACAACACTCAATTGAAAACCACTCCAAGAGAAATTTCAAACACATCATTTTCAATCAATACAAAGCATTCTCCACTCTTACCTGATAGCTCCTGGCTGGAAGTCAGGCTGGCATAATCTTTGTGGCAGTTGTGGAACTAAGAGAACACAATATGGTAATTTAAGAGTAACAAGATTTCCGTCATCAGATATGAAACAACCACATTGTTAAGAATTTGTGTGTCAATATCATTGTATGATAGGTGCTCAGAATGCCGCCATGTGTTTATAGCAGTGCATGTTAAGAGCTACTTCATGGTTTGTGCATCTTGAACAGTTTCACCTAAATTTTTCAAGTTCATTGTTTATAATCCATGCTAATCTTCTCCACCCTCAAACCTCTTCGTTCCTTTTATTTTTATCTCTTTGGTGTTTTTCTATATTAGTAAACTAATATTTCTGGTTTTTTTGCACGTAGTCAAAGTACTGTGACTGGGCTCCTTTAACTTGACATAACTGATTCTCAGTTACATCCATTGCTCTTATTATATTCCACTGTGATAAAGGGAAGCATTTTTGAAACAGATCAAATAAATTTGGATTTTAGGTGTATAGAGTCTCAACAAAAGATTGTCAAACCTCAAACACAGAGATCATGGCACTAAGAAAAAAATATTGATTGATCACTGCTGGCATCTACCTTTTTCAAGAATCAAAGGCTTGTTGTAAAATTCTTCAGGCAGTGTTTCCACCTCCTCGACAGCTTCACTGGGATTCTTTAAACTGAAAACTTCATCAACCATCTCTTTACTGTAAATGAAATAAAAAAAACTTTTTATATGATGTTCTTGATTTGCAGCTGGATACCAAACAGTTTGTAACATGACTGTTTATTTTCATTACAAAACACACAATAGAGGAAACATTAAGAAAATATGCACAGTGTTACAACAAATGGACATTGATGAGTTGCCAAATATTAGACGAATTTGACATTAAAGGGAAAAGTCTGACAAATTGATTCAATTTCACCCTCTTTTAAAAGCAAAAAACAAATGAACAAACAAAACAAACGATGTAATACATGTAGTTCATTGCTTCACCCTAAAGATGGCTAAACACACATTGGCAACATTACAATGTTTTCCTAGGTTTGCACTCTTAGAAACCAAAGAGGGAGCTCAATATTAAAAAATGCTGCTCAAGTTTGGAACACGATATGATGTCATTTCATGTATAAGGCTCCTGCTTATAGCATAATTTGTCAATACTGTTTATTAAAAAATGAAATCTACACAATCACAGGATACCACTAAAATGCATTATTAGAAATACATTATGGCAAAATGCATACCCTTTTGTATAATTAGCTGTTAAGTAGGAAAGACTGCTCTTGCGTCTTGTTAGTGATGACAAACCAAACTTGTCCTGAAAAACATCATCTCAAAAGAATGTTAACAAGGATGAAACAACAATTAGAGTGGGTGTGTGCCCAGGCTGGTTATCATCATATTTTGTGACATGACATCAAGAAATCAAAATTGTAATTTGAAGCTTTGAATGTTGATGAATGGTATTTCTTTACTTTCATTACTTTTGGCATTTTTGTTGCTACTGTCAAGAGAGTAATAAACATGATATTTGAAGCAAGTCTTTTAGCAAGCTTTCGTATTGGGTTCCGTTTAATGTTACCATTCCTGGCATGCGACGAGAAGTCATATACAAGATTAAAAGACCTCCTGGACAGAGTATTTTTAGATGGTAAAGTTCGCCATGGCTGAGACACTGCCCTTTTGAAGTGAGTGATTAGAATAAAGCAATTATTGGAGAAAGCTAGTAGATGATTTGGATCATGTGTACTGAAGGCATCCGCAGTCGAGTGTCAATCGATACTCCCAATCTATACCCTAGATTGACCTCTCAATCAAGACTTGATTGACATCCCAAGCGATACTCCGTCAAGACTCTATCGACACTTGATCAATAATTGGCCAAGGGTCGAGCGACTCATATGAATCAGTCAAAAATTAGTGGAGTCGCGACCAACTGTCAACCAAGATCTATGTTGATAGAGTGTCCATTGGATGTCAGTTGAGGTGTCGATGGAGTGTTGATTGAGGGTCGATCTAGGGTACTGATTGAGGGTATCGATTGAAACTCAATCATGGATGCCTTTAGTACACGATGCAATAATTTTAAAAAAATTATCCACTCTTAGACAAAAATACAACTGGTCATACAAATGCAAGTAATCTGTAAAAAGAAGCCAATGATAATACTTTTATACTGTCTAAGTACTGCACTGTATACAACGTGAATCTATATTTTAGAACATATTCAGTTATTTAGAATTTACAGCGAGAAAGAGAAGTACACTTGTCTATAGCATGCTTCTCGTTATTAAGAAACGTAAATGGTCACTTTGAACATCAATTTAATTTAAACCTGACATTAGCAGTTAATAAAATTACATTGACATTAAGCTCAAGTTATTATATATCTTACCTTTCTTGGAGTGAACTGTGTCCAGTTTTGTAAAAACGTTGCAGCATTCAGGATTAGACAATGAAAGGATTAATGAACTTCGTAGCTTTATTATTACAGACTATTAAAATATTATTACCAATAAATTATTACCAGTAACAACCGTGGAACTGAGTACAAGTGACTTCTTTATTTATAGGAAAATAGTTTTAAAAAACCCTTAATTTTTGAGTCAAAATTTTTTAAAAAGTAATAATCTCCTTGCCAGATGTTTACAACTTATACAATGATCACATTCTATCTCTAGCTGTGTATCTTTATTTATTTCTTCATAAGCAGACAAGACAAATAAGACACTAAATTGTGATACTAATTGTATTATTCATTGTAAGTAATAATCAATAATATTATGTACTTGTCTAGTTTATTAGACATAGGCTATTCACGAGGATTTTTAAATGCTTAGTAGTCATTTTAAATAAACTGTTGATTACACACAACTCTATTTTCCATGTTTAGCACTTAGTATTTAATACTTGTTTAGCTTTTACTGACAGATACAGTCAAACCTGTATTAAGCGGATCCCATATTAAGTGAACACCCTCTATTACGTGGACAGTAGTGCAAGTCCCATTTTTCTTTTCCCACATTCACTGTAAAAAATACCTGTATTCAACAGACACCTCTATTAAGCAGATGCGGACACTTTAAACTTGACTTTCATGGACATTTCTATTATTAGAAACCTGTATCAAACAGACACTGCTAAAAGGATGCATGATTTTTTTGTCCACATTTTAGTAGATCGGTCATTCAAGTTTGCCAACAAACTGAGCTGTCACAGAAATGCAATATTTTGTTATTCTGTTTTGTTTTTACAGAACTTTTGTTCTTGTTTGATTTTGCAAACCTTCACATGATTCGATCAATATAGATACTGTTACTGTATACTTAAATCGTGTTATCTCATATACTCGTCACTGTTTATGGAAATATGGTATTTCAGAGTTCTCGACCGTGCATGAGAATACTATTTGACCCTTTCAAGGTCTTTTAATACTGGCAAATATTAATATGAACCTTTTAAGATGAATTCTGAGGGAACCTGTTTTGACAGAAACCCTGTATTAAGCAGACACTAGCACAGGTCCAGAGGGTGTCTGCCTAATACAGGTTTGACTGTAATCAGATCATACATTCAGTCATTGATAAAATTAGTTTTAAAACAGTCACGTCTTCACCATCATTTAACATTTAACTTTACAACAGACTTACCATTAGCTTTACAGTAATACATGCATTATTTGTGTATACTACTGCAATATTTTTGTCCTATGCAACTTAGATACTCACCGATAAATGCATATAGTTTCGTCGTTTGGTCAATTTCTTTTTCTCCCTTTCAGCTTTCTCCTTTTGTGCAAGTTGCCTGTAGTATTCAACAAGGGAATTCACCTGCAGGGCAGGAAAAACATCACTCAGAGACAAGAAAGAACTGATTATAAACCTGGCTCGAGCACCTCTCAAAAAAATACCTTGACGAGATCGCAGAAACCAAATACATGTAAAGATTTCATAGAACAACAGAGATGCCAATCTAAAAAAGTTGAAATCTGGGAGATCACCAATTTCACAAATGTGAAGTAATAAAATAATTAATCATCAATCAGTACCCTTCTTGCTGCTGGACTCTCTTGCTCTTGCCAAGCACCACTTGCTAAAAAACAAACATTGATTTAGGTGAGGATCAGGGACAGAAAAGCTGTCTGTTTTCCTTCCCTCATTAGTGTAAAGGCAGATACTTGTAACAACTTTAAGGATAATTTATTACACTACAAATTAAACATTGCAATAAAATTAGAAAATTTTTTTGATGAAAAAATTTTCAACTTTGCTCAACAAACTGAACAAAAAAAGGGTATGAACCCATTTTAGTTCACTTCGTCTTAATAATGGCGTTAAGCAAACACTGAAACTTCATCGCTACTGCTATCCAAAATGATTGTATTTTTTTTCAATTTTACTGAAATGGTCTATAGCAAAATTGTTAAGCAAATCTTTTTCTCTACTGAGTTAAGGATGGATGGAAATTCAAATTTGTGTGTCGGAAGCTCTTACTAAAGTGAAGTAGTGTAATCATTTAAAAGAGATATTTTTTATGATATTTAAAATTATATATTAAATCAAAGGAATACCCAAAACAGTAGAATTTGGGAGGTTGATGAACTCGAAAAATTTTGAAATTTTGAAATTTTGGAAATCATAACAAGGACTATTAAAAATAATATACTCTACTGTATACCATGCCACAGAAAATACAGCCAATCAGAATTCAGGAAAGCTGTTATATAAGCATGGTATTGCATCCTACCTTACCATCACTTGCCACACGTGTGTCGTATTAATTGATTGCGTTGGCCACTGTATTTTCTATGGCATGGTATAAAATAGTTATGCAATGCAATCTGTCACTTGTATTTTCCCCATATACACCAGGGTTGTTGCCAAGTGCCAGCTGCCGGTGAAATTCGCCGGCTGAATTTTTGCAGGCGATCACTTGGTAAAGGACAACTACACTTTTAAGGTTACGCACGTACAATCATTTGATATCTGAACAATATCGAACCTTCCAAATCAACTAAATGAAAAGTTTGGAATAAATTCCTGACTATCTTTAGTATTGATGCCATTATAACGAGTACAGTAATTTAAATAAAATCTTGTTTTGAGCTTTTGTTTAGCATGTTCTCAGTGTACTGTGTCTGCCATCTTATAAATGCAAAGCTTGGTAGCCCCGCATTCAAGGTGTTGCAAAAGATTGGGGGTGAAATTTTTGTTCCAGGTCTCTTGCAAAAAATGGTGACCGGCTCAATGGAAATCTTAGCTGGGAGACTATTTTCTTAGCTACAACACTGATACACACAAGCCTTTTGTGGGATATTCCACGGCATACCACTCAAAAGTGTTGCATAACCAGTATATAGTTACCTGAAAACATGAAAGAAAAAACTTTAACTCACCAACACTCTTGTCTTCAATGCCGATATCTCTTGAAGACCAGCGACAGAAGCCACAGGCTAGGTAATATACTTTCTTAGCTTGCGTTGCTTTGCTGTCATCTCCACCCTTGTCTGACTGAATGGCTACTGCTGTTGCTCTTGTTGAAAGTGTGTTACCACAACTTGGGCAATCAAAGCAGTTGGCACACCTTTTTAATATAATTATGCAAAACATATGCTATATTATCATTCTTTTTGATTCACAAGAACAAAATTCTCAATATTCATCTTTTAAACCTTACCAAGTGATCAATATCTTGGATCACTGTATTATAATTTTACTGCCTCAGCAGTGTTTTAGCCATCTGACAAACACGATACAGATTATATCAGGGTCGTTGCAAAGTTTTCAAGTAGGCAGCTTTATTTTTTGGAGTAAGCAGCTGATTTTGAATTCTTTTCTAAAGAATTAGAATAAGTCAATGGTAATTTTCGTTGGCAGCCAGCTTCTTTTCAGCTGAATTTTTCCACCAAGCAATTTTTCGCCATTTCAGCGGCATTGCACTTGATGCTATCAAAATCAGTTCAAGTTCATACTGAACTGTTTTACTCATCCACTGACAATACCAAAGGCCTCTTTTCAAGAGGTCAACATTTAATCTCTCATATAGTCCCTTGTTCTATTCTGCCACTAAGTCAAGAAACGACAACACAAAAAAATGAAAAGGGGGTTTGCATTGTGATAATTCGCTTTATTAAGTCTTTTTTTACTTTATGCTTGAGGAATTGGACCTATATTTTAAACGTAGGATTTACCTGTTTTTCTTAACCTTAGCTTCTGCTGAGGGCATATTTTCCAGACAGTTAGGGCAGTAGTAAGAATCGACCTTACAAAAGATAAATTAAACACAAAATCAATTCAACATCAACATCATAATCGTCAAACATCAAATATTGAATTTTTCCTTCATCTCAAGGAACTACCTCATGAGAGACACACAGAGGACATCTCAGCTTAATGCAGTGTCGACAAAAGTACAAACGAGCCGCTGGAGATAACGCAGAACAAGAACAAGTCAGCAAAACACGAATTCCATCGCCTTCGATGGTTGACGCCATGTTGGATTTCTCCCAGCCCTCGACTCGTACTGAGTTATGGGTATTGACCTTGCTGGGCAGTCGGAGGGTGGGGGCTACTGCACCGTGAAGCTATTTATTTTAACTTCCGGTCACCAAACTTCCTCTTCCTCCGAGATTGGAAAACCTCCGGCGATTTGTTAAACAAAATATGAGTAAACCGGGTTATTTCTCAATCTCAATCTGGTCCGAGTTGTTCGAAAGGTGGTAGCACCATTAGGCTATCCACCGGATAAATCACTATCCAGCAGATAGCGTGGTTTGTTTTGTCAACACATATCCACTGGATTGTGATTTCTGGTGGATACTGAGGTACTGTTGTGCCGACATGTGACCAAAAGATGGGAGGCTCTGGGGACAATCTAGGGAAGAGAATAGAGTCTCTTTTGTTGTCACAAGCACATGTGCAAAGTAGTCACCATGTGGAAGAAACCTCAATCTGATGCCAAGCTTTCGTTGTTTGCTGGTTAACAACTATTCACTTAAGTGGAGGTGAACAGTGGATGTTCACCAAGCTGCAAAGCGGCAAAGTAAATATCTACCACTTTCACTGACACTGAGGTGTATCATTTTTTCAGTATATACCACACAAGTTGAATAATCAGCCTTGTTTATTGATAAAATTTGCTCCTTGGTAACTGAAGCGAAACGGGAAGCCATTTTGTTTTTCTCCATAATTTTGCTCAGAGGTGAATAGTACTTGCTATCCACCTTCAAGTAAGCCAATCAGAATGCGACAAAAGCACTAATCACTTGTGTGGTATATACTAATAATTTTTTAATATCACAAAGTATGAGGCCTACACAATAATGAGGTCTACCTGACTGAAAATATAGATTACGAATGAACTTATTATTCCTGGTTTAATGCCAAACACAATTTAAAGAATGTTACCCAACGTCATCAGGAACTAAAATTCGTGCAGCAAATATCAGCAATGCATGTGGTGAGATTTATTGAAAATAATAACTTTTTCATTAGAACTAACTACTGGGGTAGTACTATACAATTTATGAACATTTTGAATGATCCTGATGATCACAAGTCCCATAAGCTAAACAAAACAAAGACAAACACTGAGTTATTATTTAGGCTGCACTTTAAAAAATGGCTAATTACTATTTGATCAATGGATTTAAAAAGAAATATTGCTGCTTCAAATAAAAATATCCGAAATACTAAATCTGTAATAAAAAGATTTTACTTTCTACAATATGTACAAAAATATGTTTTTTCATTAGAACTAAATTCAGCGATTTGGTCTTTCTGAAATGTCAAGGATTGTTATTGAGCACTTTTTACAATCTCAAGATCTTAAATTGACTTTCTTTAGCGAAATAAAATACTGCATACAAAAATAACATTTCATTTTTTAAAAATATAGTTATGATTTTCTATGAGCAACACTATCACATATAAGAATTTTCAGGCACAGTTGATTCCCAGTTTTTTAAACCCTGGCAATTTTTCAAACATCCCGATAACTCAAACCAAAAGTCTTTTCCTTTCCTCAATCAAACACCGTAATTTACCCCCAATTTCTCTAATTACCCCATTTTCCGTTTCCCTTAGAGGTTTGAAAAATTGGAATTCCACTGTATTTCAAATATTAGCAAGAGCAAGTATTAGTGTTCAACAACATTCAATGCTGTCTTAATAATGTCTTATTGTATGTTGATACTCCTATAAGATGGTACACTTGTGAGGCAAACAAGATTTTGCTTTCCGGTGCAGTTGTCTTTGGTTCAGTGAAATCCACTTGTCTTTAGATTCAAGAGTTCTCAAATAACCCTGAAGTGGCCTGGTGTGTTTTTCAAAGAACTGACTGTTTTCATTAACAACCAAATCCAGCTCTTTACCAAGTCCTTCAAATCTTGTGAAGTTTAAGGCAATGACGTAGAGGCACCACTCTGTTAACTGCTTTGCATTAAACATCTGTGAAAAAAAGTAAAAAAAAAAGTAAAAAAAGTAAACATTGTGTATTAAGTAAATACAATTTTACAAACTTATCTTGTTTGTGTAATTAATTATTTATTTATTTAAGAGCAGATTAAGAGGACGATTAGTCATACCAAGCAAGCAATAAATTACATTGTGCAGTGACTTATCTCAAATGGACCTCTTTACCAATGTCACGAAATATCAACAATTTTTGGACATACACAAAACACCAGCCCCATAGCTTATTCATCATGCTAAATTTAGTGTCTTTCAAACTCACGAAAATAATGGACCTTAAACTTGCCAATTTTAAAAATAAATTGGGCAACGGATTCTCAAAAAGCTAAAAACAAAATCACAAACAACTGTAATCTTTGGATTTAGCAAGTTAACACTAACTTTGGAGAAAGCCAGCACATCCAGCCATTCCTTGGCGATATTTTCACTGATTTGGGTTTGAATTATCTGCTGTAATCCTTTATGCATTTCATCTTCACAAATCTGTACCAGGTGCGGCAGACACAAGCGATCTGCAAGAACAAGTACGTTCTCAACAGGAATCTTGTCCAGGGTGGAACACTGGTCAGTGTACAGGTACTCCAGTACAGCTAAAAAGCTTTGGAAATCAACTCCAAGCAAAGGGATCTGAAAGAGATGAAGTCAAACACTTAGCACCATAGCAAACCAAATATTAGAAACATGAACTGTCACAGTCAAATCGGCTGAGGTGTTGCACCTCAATAAAGGCTAATGCTTAAATAATTTAACCTATTAATCCAATACTGTTTTATTTTTTTATTAAAGATCCCCCACAAAAGTTTTGAAATTGAGAGGCTCTGAAATGCAATTTTATGCATTCTCTTGGAGGTATTTCCTCAAAAAAAAAAAATCAGTTTTGGAAAAGGTCAAGACGCCAAGAATATTAAGGGATTATGAAGACTTTATTCCAATTTTTTTCCTACTGCACTAGGCTGAGCATAAAATGTATACCTCTCTAGCTACAGCCTTAACTGACCTGAGACAAGGACAGTCAAGGTTCAGTCACATTCCAAAAAAAAACTGACGTGTTTTCCCTAAATTTACTTTTACAACTCACACATATATTATTCCATGAAGTAGACAGCTCAGAAGTCGAAGTAGCCCATTTTTTAGCCAGTTGCCAGCACTAAATGAGAACCCTGTGACATTAAGTGAAGTCTCACAATTTGTAAATTCAGAGTGGAATATACCTGCGAACTTTTTCCTTCTCTGAAGTTTCCACCAAGTAGAGCAGCCAGAACAGGTGATCTTGCTTTCAGTACTGCCTTATGAGCAAATACCAGTTTGCCTTCCACAACAAATACCACATCAGAAAATGGAGTTGCTTTCTTGTCCAAAAACAGATCACATACGGATATCAGTGGTGGCGTGGGTTGACCAATAGTTTTTTTCTTTGTTTCAGTTGTCTTCTTGTCACCCTTGAGTTTAAGTAAATAATTACAAATATCCACTAATGGGGAAACTTTCAGTTTCTCTGCTGCGGTCAAAAGTTCTTTAATCCTGTCACATTCACTCTCCTCTGAAATTCCTACCTCACCCGAATATAAGAACTCTAGAATTTCAATGAAGGTTTCACGGGAAATCCAGTTCTTCAAAAGTATATATATCATACTTTGAGAGAAGGCTTTTGAGTAAACAGGGTCATTTTGTGCTTGCCGACAAATATCAGCAGACATGTTTTTAACCTCAAAAATATCCTTAAATTTTCTTAAGGTGTGTGCATCTTTGTCACAAATAACATCTTTAAAAGCTGACTGCTGTAGCCACAGCACAATCCGGTGGGCAGAAATGCTCTCACTCCCATCTTCAAATGTAAAGAGAACATCAGCGTTTTTGACATCCTTTAGGATTTCCTTGAAATCTTTGGCGTGCGTTGATTGATCAGCTTTAAATTTCGGAGGGGAACCTGAAAAAGATAACATTAAATAATGCTTAATGAATAGGAACAAAGACTTGCCAGCATATAGTACTTGATTAGTAGATCTTTGCAACGCTAAGTAATAATAAAGTAGTAATAGCCAGATTTAGCAGGACTGCACAAAGTGCAAGCTAACATGCAAGCCATTTCAGTAAGCCTAAATATTACAGTCTGTTAAGCTTGGATAGCACCTGGTTAGCCTAAATAGCCCCCAACCCTCCAGAAATTTTGTTGGCTTGTGGTAAGCCTTATAGCCAGTAGAATCACTGGCTCACATGACTCACATGGCTTGCTTGCAGCTTAGCTTAAATGACATTCCTGTTAGCCTAACTAGAACTCTGGTTAGTCTAAGTTAGCTTAATTAGCTTGTGGTTAGCCTTTTTATCAGGGTTAGGATCCTGGCTTGCATGGCTCACTTGACTCGTGCAAATTGTCCACACTCGATTTAATGACAAGTACGTGACTTTACAAGCACCCAATATTACTACCACTTGATCATAATAAAAGTAGTTGAAAAGGTTGTAAAATACAACATGATATATTGCAATATATCATAATTTGAAAAAACAACTTAAATGATATACATAAGGTGTTTGCTGTGCTTTCAATAAGATCCAACGCCTGCAAGAGCTCCAGTAGATATACTATTGAGAATTACCAGCAGTTGTTAAAAATTGACCCTCTAAAGGAAGTCACCGTGGGCAACTCCTCTGACAGGTGTTGTACCAACCACCTACGCTAAATCTCAGTGAAAGGACATTGTATATGTAGAGTTTGAAAGTAAACTCTCTCTTCGATATCAATGTTAATGCTTTACTAAACAATGTGCTGTGTAATCTATAAACAACACCATTGAATGAGGGGAGATGGGTAGAAGTTTCATTATACACTGAACTTGATTATAACATGACTACTGTTAAATAAAGATTGTTTATTCCTGTCCTCATGCACTTACTGATTGGTGGAAGCCACGCTGAGTCAAATTTATTGAACCGTCTAAATTTGCTTAAGTTTGCATGGCCCCCTTGTCTGTTAGTATGAGCCAGCTTGACAGCAGAATCAAAAGCTTTGTCCACATGTTCACCAGTCTGTGCACTTGTTTCTTGGTACAGGGAGCCCATCATCTGTGCCACAGCTTCTGCTTCAGAAACTGAGACAAACTTAATAGATCCACCCCTACAAATACAAAACAAATGAGATAGATTACTATTGGGGTGACTACATGTAGAATTATTTTAAGGTAAAGATAAAGTCTGCACACGAGCCAAGTTAGTGGCTCATCAGGCTGGAGTTTATCTTGGTTTCAGTAGCATGAAGTGACTAGAAGTATTTCTACTCCCCCCTAAACGGGATGCTAGTCCATTGCAGGGTTACCCCCCAGCATTAAATTCGCCGGTACCCACTTATACACCTGGGTGGAGAGAGGCACCGTGAGAGTAAAGTATCTTGCCCAAGAACACAACAAATGTCCCTGGCCAGGGCTCGAACCCTGACCACCCCCTGTTGAGTTGGAATGGAAGCATGAAGTTGGTGTATGTAGATAAACTGAAGACAAAATAGTCTTTATAAAGGTGGGGGAGGGGGGGAAGTTTACTCCTTGGAATTTTTGGTGGTATAGCGTCTCTTGGTTGTCTGAATCCTGATCCTACATGTCTTTCAGACCCAAATATGCCCCTTTTCTCACCCTGTTTGGTAAGCTGCAGTTTATTTCTGCTGTTTTGAAAGATGAATTAGACTTTTCTGATTTTCCAAAAACGCAACTACAACAATTTCAGATCAAAACTGATGTCACTTAGGATAAACAGCTCAAAAACCATACTCTTTGGGGGAGGGGGCACATACCCCAAGTATTCCATAGCCTCAGGGGGAACCCTTGCCCCTTGTTCCCTCTGGGACGGAAACATCCCTCACCTTTCATTTTCAGCTCGTAGATCAGACTTTGTTCCAACAAAAAGTACTGGTATACCTGGTTGATACTTCTGAACTTCAGGTAGCCAACATTTTGTTATGTTGTTAAACGATTCGGGATTTGTGACGTCGAAACACAGCATAAACACATCAGCTCCAACGTAAGTCAGAGGTCTGACAGAATTGAAGATCCACCAGCCTCCGGTATCCCAGAGATTTGTCTGATAATTCCCGAGGCATTCAGTGTCGACATTCGTGAAATACGTCTCAAAAACTGTAGGTGAATACACTTTGGAAGGCTCGAAGGGCTTTTTGAACAGGCTATAGCCATCATCGGAAAAGGTCGCGTAAAGTTCTTGTGCTCGCGAAAGCAGCCATGTCTTACCCACTCCAGAGTCGCCAACAAGAACAATCTTGAGAGCGTTTTGCAAATGACGGTGCATGTGAAAAGCTGTGGCCATTTGTACAGCCGAGGTAACGTCTTGGCGAAGACATCTCCTGTCCAGTTTTGTACCTGTCCGTTTCAGTTCGTTTTATACAAGACTCAATGCCAAATATAACCAACCAATGAAATCACAGCTGATCACAATGCAGGGGTCCATTGAGGGTAAAAGCCCGGAAATGACGTCATCATCTTCTTTTACTCCCATTGTTTTCAATATTGAGTATCGAAAGTAATCAGGCAATTACTTATGGTTTTGGTTTTGGTTTTACTACGGTTTGAATTTCCTGATTAGTCTAACTGGTACCTGGTTTGGTTTAATTTGACTACAAATTTTAGCACCCTAAAACTAACCGACACTATTGCCGCGGGCTATCGTTTTTCTTCCTGCTTCCTAGCCGGACCATTACTTAATGCAAACGGTAACACTTCATTATGTAAACAGGAAAGCATTTTCACTTCCGGTATTTTTACGCCATTTCTGAGTTGCCTTGAGCCTCTGTTTGAAAAAGAGTCTTCGTGCAAAACCATTCATATGAAAATGGTTTGATTTGCATGAAAATGAACCTGTAAGCGGAATACATTTTTATATGTCTTTGAATGGTTTCGCGAGAAGACTCGTTTTGACACAGCCAAACGGCAACTGGCTTATTTCAAATTAATTTTTGTAATTAAACCTGTTTTGCTTATTCTGGGAAAGTAAGCGTAATATGTTAGTTTTTAAAGGAGCTACGTCACGTGATCTCTAGATTTTTCTTATGTGAAGGTCGCATTTAGTTTTTTGGACTTAGGCCCAGTTCAGACGCCGAACTTTTCATGAGCCGAACTTAATTCGACTTTGGAGCGACCCAAATTATCAAAAGTACACCTGTTGATTTCAGTCGTGGAACTTAATTCGCCAAACTTTATTTAGTTTAAACTAAATCACATCGAAATGTCAGCGATTTTAGGGCAAAGTTAAAACTGCTTGGAAAATACGTTATAATAATTTATGCATTAGGTTCGGCTCATGAAAAGTTCGACGTCTGAATCAAAGTCGTTCCAAAGCCGAAATTCCCGGCTGAGCTAGGCGGGAAGAACGGTTGGGCCGTTCCAAATTCAACTAGCCGTTCTTAATTGATTCAAAAAGCCGAACTTTTCATGTACTTTATGCAATGTATTCGGTTCGGCTCATGGAAAGTTCCGCGTCTGAACTGGGCCTTAGTTGCTCTATTTCATGGATTGGAACGTTATGATTATTTTTATTATTATAACATTTTTGTAACTATTATGATCTATTTATATTATTTTTACGGGAATAAGGAAAGATTTAAAAATTGTTAAAACTTGTTTGGGAAGGGAATCTAAGAGGCATGATTTTTAAACGTTCATTCTTCAATGTTCGGGTGGGAAGTTAACTTTTTAAAGTAGAAATAACTTATGGATTTCCTAGACTGTTCAGAGCCTCTCTATTTCTCAACGCACTCGATGGAAAAAGCCAAACGAAGAATATTTATTTCGGTCCCCACCCCCTATCCCGTCAAGTCTCCCGTTTTGCGCTGGCGTCCAGTTCTCCCGCAATTTCTACTCGCGCGTTCAACGATCGACAACCCCCCGGTGAGGAAAACATTCATGCCCCAGAAAATTGCCCAACCCCCTTTAAAAAAAACTAACGGTCGTCCCTTGCATAATTTCTAAAGCAGCAGTCAGGATGAAATATTTAGTCGACGTATAAAAGTCAATTAGATAACACAAATGAATACTTTTGAAATCATCATTGACATCGTTCCATTCTGAGGGATAACAGTTTAGGCGCGAAAGAACCTTTGGAGGCGTTGCTAAGGCTTACTGCTCGTTTGACTAACCAAGCACGAAAAAATTTTGCATCAATCAACTAACAATGAATATACATAATTTATTTTTGGAAAAGTGGTTGATATCAAACGAATGCAATCAAACAAAAAGACAGGACAATAGAGGTAGAAGTCCAGAAGTTTCGGGTAGATCTTCAGTAACCTAGCAGCCTGTTGGTTCTCTCTTTGTTCTGCTCTGAAAATTTTAAAGTCTTGCTGTTTCAATTTACACAAGTGCTATTGATCAGTGTAGCAGAAAAACAAAAGAGATTCTTTACGATTCCTCTGGGAAAACTATGAACATGTTTAGAATCTAGCTGATCACAATGCATGGTTAATTTGGTTGAACTTGGCAAGGCTATGTTGATATATATCGGACTGACTGACTGATCACATCACAACCAGAAGAGCGCGGTATTTCTCAGGAGGTTATAACCCCTCGTGTTTTTGCTGTGAATAAGCGGCATGGATTACCCTAACAGTTGCCAAACTTCGGAACAATTTACACAGCAGATGGAAGGCACGCAAGACGACCACAAGGAAGGACTTCAAAATCGACACGAAGACAAAATTATAGCATTCCGCTCAAGAGTCAATCAAACTATGAATAACAATGATTTTCTGCACCTTACACGGGGCGACGAGGACGATTTTCTGTTGCTCTTCCTACGAGCGCGCAGATATAACGTGGAAGAATCATTCAAACTTCTATGTAACTACATCGAATTCCGCACCAGAAATGCCTCCGTTTGTCAAAACCTCTCAGCTTGGCAGCTTCATCATGTTATAGAAGACGGTTTCCCGTGTGTTCTACCCTACGGCAATCAGAATGGTGCAAAGATGCTTGTTATTTTCGCTGGCAGCTGGGATACCGACACTTATGGCACTGAAGAAATTTTGAAGGCTTTTATTTTGAGCATGGAACGCTTGATTGAAAACGACGATACTCAACTCAATGGAATTGTGATTATTGCTGATTTTTCGGGCTGGACTGCTACTCAAGCATCCCGTTTGTCCTTGTCTTTTATTCGTCAAGTCTTCGCTATGTTTCAGGTAAGTTTAGGCCTCATAATCAAGGCCAGACATTAAGACCGGAAAGCTGCGTGTAGTTCGTATTTAGCTGTCGGGAGCAGTTTTCGTACGTGTGGAGGAGTCACAGAACTGACACTAAGTAATAATTAAGACATGTAATCCAAGACATTTTTTTCTGTGTGAGTGGGGCTACTGTGAATGTTCCAATAGGAATCGATCTTGATACAGTATTCATTATTTTTTAGGTTTAATCTAGTGTCTATAAAAGATCTATGGCGCACGTTTTCTATTTCTTTTGGATTATTCACGGCGCCTATTGTGTGCTAGGGGGGGCATGCAATTTATGAGGAAATAGTACAAACAATTTCTCAATAGAACTTGAAGATAGTGGCTGTATAAACGGGTTGAAATTATAAAGGATTATACAGGGCAGATTTCAGTAAGAATTTTGGCTTTTAAAGGTATTAACAGGGTGGCCGCATTAACGTTTTTTTTTTAATAAGAAAATGTATGGGCGTTTCGCCGAGGCAGAAAAAGTGGCCATAGTAACGAGGTGACCGTATTAACTAGGCATCGTGAGGGGGGGTTCCTCTGTACATACATATATCTTTTAGTTATTGCACGCGATGTTATTGGTCAATAGACGGTATTCGTATTCTCTGTAACTAGCTGGCAACTGAGGCTAATGCGGTCTTTCAACGCAAATGGCATTAATCTCTTCCCGCATGAGCCTCCATTTCAAGCTAGTTCCAGTGCAATTACGAGAATACGGTCAATAGGCCCTTTGCAGCTAAGCCATCACGTGACCTACTTTTCATAAAATTATGGGTTATAACTTAATAAATGCCAGAAATGGGAAAAGCATGTCAAAAATATCAAAATGGCCAAGTTTGAGGCCCCCATCATTAAGGAATGAGATTTTATGACAGTCTGAATTTTTAAAAGAATAAGATTTGTATGGAAAAAGTTGTTGGAGAGCAAGGTCTTGCTCTCCAGCAACATTTTCCATACAAATCCTCTAAATTTTGCAATAATTCAAGCTGTCGTATAAACTTACTCTTTAATGCCAAGGGCCTCAAACTTGGCCATTTTGGTATTTTCGATGCGCTCTCTCCATTCCTGGCATTCTTTAAGTTATAGCCCATAATATGAAAATTTTCTTGGAAAAATTTGGTCACGTGACCCCAACTGCAAAGGGCCTATTGAGTGGGCCGTATACTACTGAAAGGTCAGCTAAAACGTGAAGCTGTTTTGTAACACGTTCATGGCAAATAAACGAGTAAAATGCTTTCTTTTTTCTATGAAATTTTGACGATTTACGCTCTTGGCGTAAGTCAGTAATATGAATGAGTTCTTCGGCTTGACTTGAAACGGTTTTTCGAACCCGCAGACACACAGCAGAGATAAGACACAATAAATTTCTTGCTGTAACCTCGTTTCCTCGGTTCGTACAGTAATTTACAGATTCTCGGTCCGTAACTTACAGTATGGACCTACAAAGAACTCGGTTATCAAGAGCTATTTATTGACAGGGACACCCGACGGATTAGTTAATACATCACTGCAGTCAGTTCCGTTTCTACGTAGGTTTTACAGTCTACAAATAGCTACAAATGCAAGAATTGTTTCATGGCCTGAATGATAAGTTTTATGTTCACTTATTTTAACTACTCGTTTGATTCTTTTTTGAATCAATAAAGAAACTATTTATTTAAAACACCAAACCATAATTACAACCCATGGTTGCTTTGTCATTTTAGGATCATTACCCGGCACGATTTGTCGGATTCCATTTCGTGAACGAACCGTGGTATGTGAAAGCTGGTTTAACTTTACTGAAACCTTTCATCCAAGAGAAGATGTGGAAAAGGGTAAGCTGAAATGCGTTCTTTAGTATCTAATATCTCCTCAGGGAACTCGACATCAGGGCAGCTTCTAGGGTTCCAATAGAAGTTTTATTTTATGGAAACAGCGTTCTGTGAATCGACACAGACAATTACAAGACGATTTGACGTCCGAGACTTACGTATCTTCGTCAGATTCTTTTTTTACTAGAAAAAAAAAAAAAAGAAAAAAAAAAAAACGAGCTCGGAAACAGAAAGAGAAGAGAGAAGGAAGTGAGAGAAAATTAAGGAAGGAACGGTGAAAAGGTCTAAAAAGAAACCAACAAAGAGTCTGTCATGTTTTAATATGAAAGGAAAGGAATGAAGCTTGTGAAGCAAGTAGCAAGTATCAGGGTTTTCGGAATATTGGCAGCGCGATAATTTGGGCGTGGACAACAAAAATAAGAGTAGGGGGAGGGAAAAGGGGGAGCTTACGCGCTTTAAGGTATATTGCAAGTTTTTCGTGTCGAGTGAATCCATAGTAAAGGTTGGTAGTGTGGAGGTGCGTTATCAGAGGTCACGTGCTCAAAGATGGGGAGGGGAAATCGGTGAAGTTGGGCCTCTTCTTGCTTCTATTTGGGGGAGGGGGTTCTTTCTTTGGTCTTCAGCCTAAGAACTGGTCCTTTCTTCCCCATTAAGATTGATTCCTTCTCTTAATTTTTCTAGATACATGTGCATGGTAACAACATGACGACACTTCACGACCATTGTCCTCAAGATATTCTCCCTGCGGAGTTTGGTGGAAATAAACCAGCGGTGAACCGTGAATACTGGGCGCGAGTATTGCTGGATTCCGAGAAAACGAATGGGGGTCACGTGTACGGAGAGAACCCATTTAAATGGTCACTCAATCAAGAGATAGACGAGGAAGAAATTCCGCACGTGATATCTGCGTGATTAGTCGGAGAAAACCCACATAATGGCCACTCAAGCTGGACGTGAACCAAGCAAGAAATGTCAGAAATCCTGCACGTTATAACAACGTGACCACAAATTAAGCTAGCGCGTAGGTAATTAGTGACGAATGCAGAGGAAATAGCGATTCATATACAGCATGCAAGGGGAGGGTCAGAACAGTTTTTACGTTATTTTTGGAAGGGTCACTAACAAGGCGCGAAATACTATATCGTATGCAGTCTACGTCAATTGACGAAAAATATATCTATGAAAACTTTGTTAAAATAGCTTTGATTGGCTTTAAATCTTCTATCGGGTATCTTCAAAAAGACATATTGTACGGTAACTAATCAACAAATCCGACGGATATTTTGCGCAATGTTTACAACACTTCTTATTCATGAAAACATTTTCTAGTTCCATGGGATTGTGGGGGCAATTTATAATGCGACAACCTCTAAGATCGCTTTTTATATTATTTATAATCGAAGAGCAGCCTAGTGAGTTTTTAAAAATATTCAAATCTAAGAGTTGTAGAGTTAAAACAAAATGTAAAACAGTTAAACTGTCTTTGCCACTGTTGTGTTGTAGGAATGTAATTTGGAGACTTTTTTCAGTTGTTATGGGAAATTTTACCGTTTTTAGCGTTTAAGGTTTCAGCATTTTATGTTTTATTAACAGGGCGGCGCAATCTTTTCAGTTCCAATTCTTACCGTGTATAAATTAAATAAAGGCTATTTTAGCGTATCACCAAAGGTATGAAAGGAGCTAGAAATCTTCCCTCTGCTATCCATTCCTCTTGCGGCTTTGCAATTTAACTGCTAGCTAAGAAGGGTGTTTAGCTTTGAGAGTTTTCTTTGTTATACATTTTTAATTTGTGAATAATTTTTTTTACAATAAACTAGCTAGCGCAATTGCAATTATATCACAAGAATTGGGAAGTGCTGTGAACGAGTGAAATGTTATTTTTCTTGGATTGGTTCTCAACACTATCAGCACACTATTTGCAGAATATTTTGATCAACATTTTATTGGTTAATATTGTAACGCACTTGATTACTTCTCACTATTTGGATCATTTGTTAAAGAATTGCGAAGTTGATTGCCATGTATATATAATATCGTTGAATAGCAGCTATATGAGAATAAAGTTATCTTCTTCAGTAAATTATTTGGTTTTAAAAATCTCAGAATAATAAGTATTGCATCAATTAACAAGTGTGAAGTTGGTCTTTTTTCACATGCACTGGCAAAGTTATGGTGAAAAGGTCCAAAAAGAATGGATAATGGTGTTTCACTCTCTTCTTTCTTTTTGGGTTTGCTTGCTCAGTCATTATGGTAAGGTCTTGGTTTGAGATTTTTCTGTTAAGACAGAATGTTCCACCCTAATAAGTTGTTTATTATGTGGCTGTTTGCTTTGTTTTTGCATGCTTGCAATCTGCCCGTCGGCATTACGCGAGAATAATGTCTTAAAGTTGCCCAATCAGCGCATGCATTATATCGGCCACAAAAACAAGCCATACAATAAAACATGATACTGATAAAGTTTCAGCTTGGAAGGTAGAAGAGAAAGTAGATAGTTGCTATAGAGATAAAACTGATTCAAACGCAAAGGTAAGTTCTGTTGCACACAGCGGAGCCCCCAACTTGAGACCACCGAAATAACACAGCCACTTTGTAGCCTGAACAAAAGATTCATTGATTATTTTAGTTAAGAATCCTGTTTATTAAGCATAGCTGGTTGAATTGGGTATCACTGTTAGTAGTAGCTCTTAAAAATTAGAAAGCTAATCATAGTCAAAATAGTCCTAGGTGAAAGCCTTTGTTCATTTAGATATGTTTGGCTCTCTTAGCCGCAATCTCTCGTTCAGTTCCAAACTCATAGTATTGAGGAGCCAGCGTGTACAGCCATGATGGATCAATTGCAGTGACATCCCGCATGTATTCCTTGGAAGTCTGAAGCACTTCATGGTACACCACCCACTGTGGTGGTGTTTCAGTATAAAGAACTGACGTCGGGTGGATGTACAATGGGTGGTCATCTCGCACCGTGCGATAAGACCCTGATGGATGTAATCGAGCAGCATTAGCGAAGAATCCACTTACGACACACTGGCAAATTGAATCAACATCACCGTCACAAGACACTAGTGGAACTTTAAATTGCAAGAGAAGTTTTTTGAACTGCTCTCGAATTTTAAGGGCATGACACAGACCCTTGTAGTTCAGGAAGTTCTCATGACACCACCTTGAGCTCTTCTTGTACTTAACAAAGGCCTCATAGACATTTAATAGGGTAACATGGTCTCCTTCATGAACAGAAAATTTCCTCTTGGCATTGTCGGCTGCAGCTTTCTGTCTGCTAGGGGCGAGGAAGATGTTCTGGATCTGAAGCATGGCGGCAATTGTCAGGATTTCCTCTGAACAACCAAAATCACCTGATGACAGAAGCATTTTGGCAATCATTGGATCAGTGGGAAATTCTGCCATGTTTGTTCCCAATGGATCAACCAGCTTTCCATGTTGATCGACTGCTCCTAATGCATACAACAGCTCCAGCCCACGGATCATGCTCTGTGCAGGAGGACGAGCTGGGAAGTTGAAACGAAGCAGGTTATCAATTCCCAAACACTTCAATTGCAGCATAACTGAGGCCATGTTGCATCTTTGCATTTCAGCCACTGTAGAGGGTTTGAGAGCAAGGAAGTCTAGTTCTGTGTACAGCCTGTATACCTTTCCTGATCTCACACGGCCTGCTCGGCCAGCACGCTGTTTCGCTGATGCTTGTGACACTGGTACTACAACTAAACTTTCCACTCCCACTTTTGGAGAATAAGCTCGCAGCTTCACAAAACCACAGTCAACGACATACACTATTCCATTTATGGTGATAGAGGCTTCTGCAATGTTTGTCGCAACTACCACCTTCCTAGTGTTGTGTGGAGTTGGCTTGAAAACAAGCATCTGCTCTGTGTGTGGAAGGCCACTGAACATGGGAAGTACTTTGAGATATTGTGACCCTTTGTGCAAGGCTCTGGCTCTGTCAATCAACTGTGAGACCACAGTTTCGACTTCTTCTTGACCAGTAACAAATGCAAGAATGTCACCATGAGGTTCCTCCTTGTGTATACCCATGACAGTATCAACTGTTGCTTTTAAGTAATCAGGAACAGGGCTTAGGGTGTAGTGTATATCAACAGGATAGGAACGCCCTTTCACCGACAGTATTGCAGCAGTGTCCTTGCTACGATCACTGGTGATGTTGGTGTTGAAAAAATCTCTAAACATCTCTGCATCAAGCGTGGCTGATGAAATGATGATCCTGAGATCTTTTCGCTTTTTCTTAATCTTCTTTAAGAGCCCTATCATAATGTCAGTATGCAGCGTTCTCTCATGTGCTTCGTCTAACATGATCACACTGTACTGCGACAACAGCGGGTCACTCATTGTCTCTCTCAGTAGCACACCATCTGTTACAAATTTCATGCGTGTTCTTTCTGGATTACAGCAGTCATCAAATCGAATTGAATAACCCACTTCTTCTCCCACAAATGACCCTCTCTCCTCTGCTACCCTGGTTGCTACAGTAACAACTGCAACTCTACGAGGTTGTGTTATGCAAACTTTCCATTTTCCAGCTGTCCAACCACTCTCGTGCAAATACTGTGGAATCTGCGTCGATTTTCCGCAGCCTGTCTCTCCTACGACAATGACAGTCTCGTATTTCTCTAGCAGATACAAAATGTTTGTTCTGTGCATGAAAATTGGCAGCCTCTGTCTTTGAAGGGTGATAGACAGGGAGCTGTTAGGATTATAGATCGCTGACTCAGAAGTATCATCACCACTTATAGGCCTTTCGGTCGCAATAACGCTATTAGGTTTTTCCGTATCTGGCTTCCAAAAACGTGGTTTCAAACTTTGAGCCGCGTTCGCCGCCATCTTGAATGTTAAGTCGAGGGAACGAAAATTTTGCGCATGCTCTTCAGAGGTGACCGCTACTGATCTTGGGCTCAAATTTAATGCGCGAGGGTCGCGCGTGAGTAATCGGGCTCGATCGAGCTGTCATTATGAAATATAAACAGAGAAATCAATATTTATTCATTTGGTTCTTCCTGAATTAAATTCAGTTTAGTACATGTTGGAAGATGGCTCCACCTCGAAAGAGAGTGACCGGCGATAGAAAGAAAAGTAAGTTTAAAGTTTATGTGATTTTCTGTGCGATTTGGTGATGCGCGCACTTAGCTGAAAATACTGAAGGTTTTTTTCACGGAAGCAAATAAAGTTTATTGAACCGTTGTATTGTGCAGAAGAGTAATCTAAAAATTTAGCTCATTGAGAAGGTTGTGTCCATCATTAATCGCTTTAAGGTTATAAGGACTTTAAGTTTCTTCTAAACAAACAGCTTGTATGTTAAGTTTACTCTCTAAGAAAACTGAAGTTGAGCTAGTTTCTTCGGCCGTTTAAATTATTTAGTCCTAAATATAGCCCCAGGTAGTTTGAAACTTTCACAGTGCATTGCGATGCTTTAGTTTTACATTACAATTTAAAATGATCGAAATTCGCAGGTATTAATAGATGTACAGACGTAGCAAACCACGATAAAAAATAAACTTGTAACTGTAAGTTTTCTAAGCTTAGTATAAAATGTTTTTGAAGGGAATGTTTTACGTGGCATCAGTCTCAAAGACAGGTGTATTTGTTTTAAAACCCCGAACCAAGATTAATTATTTATTTTTGTTCAGCTGAGGGAGTCGTGTTTTTATTTCACTGTTTCTCTCATGTGAGTTGCAAAAGTGAAGGATTAATCTGCAGAAATTAATGATAACTCTGCCACAAAGTGTATGATTTTACTATAGATATATAATCTTTCCTACTCATTTGTTCCAGGCAGCAGTGCTCAAATAAACAAAGCAATAGCTAAAAATCTTTATTATTCCTGCTAGCTGGTGACAGACCATTTGGGCTTGAAACTGAGAATTCAAGCTTATAAGACTAGCCCCCTATAAACACTCGAAGGGTTGCATGGAAAAAGACCCCCCTTCATTTGGTCATGCTGCTCCCACAAGTGATCATCACACATCAAAAATCATCAAGCCATTATGAGAAATAACACTCCAGTTCCCATCATTCCAGTGCTTATTTACTGATAAAATTATTTTAGAAGTGGTTGTGTTGGTTAGATTCAAATAGTGGTACTAATGTTTTCTTTTTTGTTGTTTTGCATTTTGGGTATTTTAGTTCCACTGGACCATAACTTGTAAGTGATGGCCCCCTCCCATCTCCCTCTACGTGTTTCTGTTTCTTAGCTGTCTTTTTTTTGTTTTGCTTGGGCTAGACGCGAAATATGAAGTCAAGATTCTGATAAGAAAGAGCAAGCTCTTACCTGTCTTCAGGGTTGATCTCAGAATGGGAATAACTGCTGTACTGGTTACAAACCCTTCTATTTCAAACTCAAGGGGAAAATTAGAAATGGTTCAGAATAGCAGTATTTCGAAATAGCCAATAGTAAATGGCTGAAGGGCAACTGCAAGGGAAATGGTTTTGATTGCGGAATAATAAGGAATTCGAAATAACCAAGTTTGAGTTACATTTCACAATATAAGAATAAGTCAATAAAATATATGACTGTTTGAGCAAACTGCAATAGTAGATGTCTTGTGAAATTCCAGTCTTGGTCCTCTTCTTTTCTTTCTTGAGTCCAGTATTGTTCTAAGACTTGCAATGTAATTTAGGGAACAGCATCTGGACAGTAAAACATAACATTTTGTTTCATTCTTGTATTTTCAATATTTTCTATTCACAGATGCTGACAATGCTACGACCGGTAAGCCAAAACAAACTATCAGTGACTCAAGTGAGTCACCTTCATCATATCTCAGATGGGGAGTTTTTCTTTTTGTATTGGCCGTGGCAGTAATTGTGGCTGTGTATATATTTAGAGTCAAGCAAACGGATTCAAACTTACGTGTACAAGAAAATTCTAAGTCACAAACTGTCGAAACAGAGAGAAAGCCATCTGAAAAGGTAAAAAAGAAAACTAAAAAAGCATCTCCATCAGATTCATCGGCAGCCATAACTAACCGCTTTGATAAATCCATTGCCAAAGAACTCAGCAAAGCACAGAGTATCTTGGACAAGGGTCAGATTGTAGATGCTGTGCATAAGTTTGAGACCTTGGCTAATAAATATCCCAAGAGTCCAAGGGCCATGTATGGAAAAGCGCAGTCCTTAGATAAGTTGTCAGAACTCAAGCAGAGCAATGAGATTCTTCAACAATGTATAGACGCTTATGGCAGAGTACCTGAAATGCCAGATTGCCCTACTGAGCTGAAACGCAGGGCCGTACAACGTCAGGCTGACCGGCTTAGCTTTCTGGGCAAGGCAGGACAAGCAGCACAGGTGTTAAAGAGGCTGCTGAATGAGTTGCCAGGTGACATAAAGATCATGAATGATCTAGGTGTGCAGTATTTGCTATCAGGGAGGAATAGGGAAGCTGAGAATATCTATAGCCAGGTGAGATATGAAACATTGTTTCCCGAGTGTCAAGTATACCACTAGCTTGTGAGGTGAACTTCCATTTGCTGCTAAAATTTCGTACAGTTTCATTTGAACTCCCCACACAAGAACAGCCTTGAATTAAGGGTCCAACATACAAAGGCTTTTTCAATCCAGTGCCATTCCACCACTTTTTTTTAGCTCAGGCTTGCCATCCCACCCCGATCAGAATGTTCATTACAATTGTACCTGGTTAGAGTCTCAGTTCTCCTCATAACGTCTATAACCTTGATGATTTTATGTTCATCCGCTATCTTGTTATTTTGAAAACTATCTAACATCCTGCCTGTCAAAATGAGCAAATCCCGCTGACCGCCGATTGAAAGTATTTTTATCCTGCATCCCACCATTAAAATTTCTCTCCTCTGGCATCCTGCCTCCCTTTTCCTCTCATCTCATATCCTGCCAAACCTATGTTGAACCCTCTTGAATCATGGTACTTTTATTGGTAATCTGATCCCACATACATGCCGGCAGTCTAAATAAAGCTGTTAGAATGCTGTTCAAATTATTAATAACAGTCAGAACAGCTGTGTTAAGTTATCAGCGTCTCATTTACTTGCATGTACATAAACATATGCAAGGTGTAGTGGCCTCTTGGTTAGTGTGCTTGCCTCTGGATCTAGTGGTCCAGGTTCAAGTCCTTGCCAGGGACATTGTATTGTGTTCTTGAATTGGGCAAAACACTTAACGTATACTCTCACAGTGCCTCTCTCCACCCAGGTGTATAAATGGGTACCGGTGAATTTAATGCTGGGTAACCTTGTGATGGACTAGCATCCCATCCAGGGGGGAGTAGAAATATTCCTAGGCACTTTATGCTACAGAAATTGGGATAATTAAGCTCCAGCCTGATGGGCCACTTGGCCCCTATGCAGACTTTTCTTACATAACATATTACACAGGGGTGTGCAAATTCTTGCAGTAAGTATGAGCACAAGACTACATTACAGGTACAGTGCCTTTGTCAATGGACAAAACAGATGTGGATTCAAAGGCATGCTAAATTAACGAAAGAATAGAGTGGCTCCTGTTATTTAAAAGTCAGTAAGATTAAAATCCAATGTGTAAGTTTTTTCCCTTTTTCAGGTAGTAAACATGAATCCAAGAAATGGTTTTGCCAAGTCACACCTGGGTTTCATTCTGAAAGCTGATCATTTGCGTTATACTGAAGCTATTCCTCTTCTACGTGATGGCATCTCTAGCGGCGAGCCTGGGGCTGATGACGGTAGATTTTATTTTCATTTGGGAGATGCACTGACAAGGGTTGGAAAACCAGATGAGGTGAGATTATTAGCTTGTCTGTGTATTGCTAATATGTTGAAGTCTAGTCTCCTTCGCAGCCGTTTAAGGGTCATCATGCAAGGCTCCCTCTGCCACTGAGTGTTGCATGACAACCCCAAAATGGCTGCAAAGGAGATAACTTTCAGCTATAATACATGTAATTGTAATTTTCTGTTGTCTTTACTGTTTTTTCTCGACTGTTTGTACAAGAAATGTGTGGGTCTAGAGGCCAGGGAAACTCCCACATAAAAGGATGGGGGTGCTTGTATCGTTTAGAGGTTAAAAAAGTGGTTTTAGTTCAGAGTGTTCAGCCTTAAAAGGTCCCCAGCGGGAGCTTTCGCAGTACCATTAGGGTATTGATAGAGATCATGACAATGCTTTCATAAAATTTATGAGTAGAAGGTATTTGAAGTAATTGTTATTGCTATTTAAAATTATTACCGTAGAGTTCTGATAGTAATGACCCCCCGAAATTAATGTCAATTTTTTGTGGCTGCTAGTAAATCCTGAAAGTAGCAACCTCCTGAAAGTATTGACCTCCTGAAAGTAGCAACCCCCCCCCCCCGAAAGTAGTGAGAGGAACTTTTTTAAATTGTTTACCGTATACCTTTAATTTGTCAATCAATAGTCAAAATTTTAATGTACAATAATATGTTTGTGCAGTGTCAATTATTGTTCACGATTAGGCACTTTAATTTACAACAAGGGGAAGCTTTATGCCACCATTCGTCCTTGACATCAGTTCACTGATGCAGCAATGCAAGAACTAAACCGGTATAATTTCGTGTTAACAACAGGAACGTTTCTTCAAATTGAAATTGAAAACTCGATATAGTTTTCGTTGATTAACATGAATGTGTTTCTTCCAATTAAATGACACTGAGATACCCGTATGGGGTAGAGACTAAAACGTAGCAGTGCGTCATGCAGTACAATTGAAGCAGTTTAGCTTTCCTCAGCTGAGTCAATGAAGATCTCGATCGCCTCTATATAGTGTGCCTGAAGGTGTATGGGTTCAAGGAGGAGGCATCGAGATTCCTTGCATTTATGAAATTGGTGTCAAGGAAGAACTTAGAAGTCTAAGAAAAGAACTAAGAGACAAACTAATACAACTCGTCCCAACCACTGACAATACAATCTAGGAAGACATCTGGAGCCCACCCATGATGCAGTTAAAACATGAAACTGGATAGACAAATTTTGTCTTATTTGTTTACTGGCATTGATATTGATTTATTTTCTTGTTGCTGTATTTATCATTGTTACCTTCTTTTTCTCAAACACAATCTATACATATGGAATGCAAATAAAATGTTGTTCATTTTTTTATTTTGGAAAAAAGCTTGCGCTAGCTCTATTTTTAAACGATTTTTGTTCCCTGAAAGTAATGACCCCCGAAAGTAGTGACCCCCAAAGGCTGCTAATTCCGAAAGTAACGAGGGTCACTACTATCGGAACTCTACGGTAATAAAGTGCAAGTTAATGTGCAATTCAAACCACGCCCACAAAACAGGCTATTGGTACCCCTTAGGGTTTTTTTTTCAGAATTGCTGACATGCATCCCCATCCTTTTTGTTTGGGAGTACCCCCCTCCCCCCCTCCCTGGACCTAGAGGTTTATGAGCTTCACTTTTCTACTGGTCTGGATTAAGCATTGGTTGGTGGTCATGGTTTAGGAGCTAGAAGTTTATCAAGCTAATTGTTACTATCTTGTACAGGCTTACAAGGTATATGAGGAGGCTGCAGAAAAAGGAATATTTTTATCTGCATTGCAACGGTCCTTGTACAATGCTGACACTCCCTTGAGAGCACATCCATGGTGGACCCCAGAGGAAACTGGATATGAAAGAGCTATTCGGTGAGTTAGATTGTATGACTGCAAATAAGGATGTTTGTTCCCAGTTAGAGGGTTAAACAATGATCATGACAAATATTTACTTAGGAATCTTTTTTGTGCTTGCTAAAGTTACGCAAGTGTGAAGATATCAGATGATCATCGCAGTTATATGCACGACTTAAGCAGCTGTGAAATTAAAGCGTGAAGAAATTCAGGCTGGAACAGGATTTGAACGCATGACCTCTGCAATACTGGTGCAGTGCTCTACCAACTGAGTTATCAAGCCAACTCTTTCATATATTCACTTGCATTTTTCACCATCTATGGGTATACTATGAACTCACAATGTGACCACTCAGTTGGTAGAGCACTGCACCGGTATCATAGAGTTCCTTGGTTTGAATCCTGTTCAAGCCTGAATATTGTTCAGGCTTTAATTTCACAGCTGCTTAAGTAGTGTGTATAACCTGGATAATCAATCATGTCTTCATATCTTTCTCTACAGAACAAATGTATGATCTTTCATATACTCACTTGCATTACTCAAGTGTGTTTTTGTTTTGTGATTTAATCAGAAAACTTGAATCCAACTGGCAAGTGATCAGAGATGAAGGATTATCAGTACTTGACAAAAAGTCTGGAGGGTTTATATCAGAAGAGGAGAATCTTAGAGAGCAAGGGGACTGGAAGCAGTTTACTCTGTATCAACGTGGCCGAAAGAGTGAAGCAGCTTGTCAGAAAACACCACAGACTTGCGCCATCATCGATACAATGAGAGATGCTACAGGCTGCAAGAGGGGGCAGGTAAGTACATAAACTTAAAGGTTAAAACAAGTAAGAGGAGTCTATTTATCATCAAAAAGGTAAAGGTAGAATCGGCATACATGTATAAGCCAAGTGGCCCATCAGGCCAGCACTTTTCTCCAGATTCAGTAGCATAAAGCAACAAGGAGTATTTCTACTCCCCCCCTCCGACCCCCAGGACTTGTGTTTAAGGCAGCAGGTGGTTTGGGATAACTGACTTCAGCATTTAATTTGAATTTTACTACTACCAATATTTTAAGTTTTTAAAAATGACATTGAATTTACGGGGAGGTGAACAATTTGTTTTTTGTGACTTCCACATGGTGAATAGGACATGCCATAGCAGGTTTGTCTCGAAACTCCCATTTATTCATATTGGAATCCACCAGCACTTTGTAAGGTTTCCCAAATGGCTATCATTTCCATACTTGTGTGTGGAGAGAGGTGCTATCATGATACAATGTAGTTTGAGCAACTTACCTTTATGTTACTATTTTGTATGTGGCAGATCAAGTATTCCGTGATGCTTCCTGGCACTCATGTTTGGCCTCATACTGGTCCTACAAACTGCCGTTTACGACTTCACCTTGGACTGGTCATTCCTAAAAATGTCGCCATAAGGGTTGGACGTGAAACAAGGTATGTAACAATGACATCTAACTGACTGATTGAATGATTGACTGGTTGCCTGATTTACTACCTGCCTGATGGATGACTGACTGACTAACTGACTGAATGGACGTGTGTTTGGATGGATGGATGGACAGCAGACCTGGGGGGGACCCTCACATGAAGAGATCGGGGATGTTCATTGGAAAATGTAAATATTAAACCCCTAAAGGAGACCAATCTGGGCATGGCTCAAGTGCTATTTGACCCCTAAAAGATACCACTTAAAACAGTATAGGCTTGATTACCAGCTACTGTTCAGGAAAGGAGCCTGTGCTTGTAGACCAGACTTGAGTCTGGTGGAAATTGAACCTAAACACGGAAATAAGAGCGCTTTTTTTACTATTTCTTTGAGTGCACCCAAAAAGTTACTTTCAATTGAAAGCTAAAAGTAGTGGCATTTTGTCATGAGCACCCTAAGTGAGACCAGAATCCTTGATTTATACCCTTAAGGGAGGCGTCGAGCATCCTGACTTTTTCATATGGGAGACCCCCCAGGCAACAGAGGGACATTGCAAGGTAGCTGGGGGAAGTCTGTGTTGGGCCAGTTCATGCTAGGTTACCCCCCAACATCAAGCCCTCCTCTAAACAGTTTATACTAACAAGGTGGAGAGAGACAGGAAGAAACTGCAATGACCCCTGAGCCAATGCTTGAATCTAGACTGGTGAATCTGGAGTCCATCAAGCTAACCACTAGGCTGCTGCACCTCCTACGTCACACAAACTAATGGTATAGAAGACAGTCATGTTTTACATAATGTGGTTTTCCTTCACAGAACTTGGGAAGAAGGCAAAGCAATAATCATTGATGACTCATTTGACCATGAAGTTTGGCACAATGGTTCAACCTTTAGACTTATTTTAATTGTGGACTTTTGGCACCCAGACTTGACACCTCGACAAAGAGCGTCATTGTCTCCCATCTAATGAGCTTAATTTTTAAAATTTAGAGTGCATGCATGTGGAGGGGTGACCTTGAATAGAATGGTTGACTGTGTCTTAAGCCAGTTCAGTGCTGCAATGACCTTTATGTCATGTTTTTAGCCAGTTTATACTTTTAAATAAATTGTTGTATTATAGCTACAGTTTAAGAAAGATCTCAGTATCTCAGTATCTCACAGTATCTCAATTATGTAAAATTGTGGTTGTGAAGATTTTAAATGAAGATTCTAATAGATATAATTAAATTTTTGATATCTTATTTCTGCACAGTTGCTATTATTGCCACAAACATGTCTGGAACAGAAAACCAGTCATAGTCTTAAGTTTGAATAGTTCAGAGATTTCAGTTTCTGTTTTACATGTTTGTCTTTAAGCTTGTACATTCAAGATTAGAGCTTTTTACATATTTTACACCCATTTTAAAACTAAGGTGTCCTAGAGATGGGTTATCAGCAGCTACAGGGTCCCTCATCTGCAGTTTCATAAGCTGGACAGGTTAATTTGAGTCAGTCCTGAAGAAGCTGTCTGGTTTTGCCCAGATTACAATTTAATTAGAAATTTTCAAAACTTTAGACAAGCTCAGCAAAGGTACTATAATAACATGCTTGTCAACTGAGTTAGGTCTGATTTTACAGGATAATACATGTATTTTGCTCTTGGTCAGGATACATTAACCCTCTGATTTCCCATCTGCCTGTCCCACTTAAATTGTACTTTGTAACTTGGGAAATTGGAAATTTTAAGGCAAGGGGCTCTTTAATGCAATTCAAAGGAGTTACATTACCTGCAAAAAATTTCAGGTGTTTAAATTTCAGAGACTTAAAAATTTCAGAATTATATTATCAGGCCCTTTTTTGCCCGAAAATAAAATCATCCCAGATTTTTTGCAAGTAATGTATACCACTATATATTGAGACAATTTTTATATACCGTATTATTATCCTCAAACAGAAAATATTGTAGTGGTCCAGTTTTGAGTTAATGATAGAAGACAGAGCTGTGCAGTGTTAGTCTTGATCTGAACTAAAATATTCAGATACCAGTTGTCATGAGTAAGAAGATTAATAGCTGCTTGCAGCTTTGTTCATAATTTGGTTTATCTTTTGCTTTTCTGCTGGTATTTGGGAATATTTTACATCAGATATTTGCAAGATTTGTTAAACATTCAGTCTTAGAGTGGTTCTTAGCCCGCATTACTGCACTCATTGTATACCAAAGTGGTTTTATGGTGTAGGAAACGAAGTGTGGATGATTTTAATTTCTACTGTATTAAAGGTGGTACTAATTTTGTGAAGGATCATTTTGTAGCCACTTATTTGCACGTTTGAAGTTTTTATGTCTTGTTTTGTTACGTAAGCTGACTTGAAACATAACTGATAGGCAACTAGCCTGGCAAGTTGCCTAAATGGCAAACATAGAATGCAAGATTAGGGACAGATCATTATTTTTTTGAGGGTGCAGGGGGTGGGGAGGGGGTGGACAATTTCCAAAACTCTCCTGCACAGCAAAAACTGCTGAAATGCGAGGAGAATTGTGGGGAAAAATATCAGTTACAACCTTAAAGTGAGAAAAAAAATTCATGCCCCANAGTCCCTTAGAAGCATTATTATGTGGGTGGCAACTTTGTTCATACAGCTTTACTCTGCAGGCTTCTGGTAACTGAGACTAAGCTGCTTTGATCAGTTGCTCTCAAAACTAGAAATTAAAACATTGAGGTCTGTTGTACATCATTGGGAAAAAGGCAAAGCAATGATCATTGATTACTCAGTTGACCATGAAGTTTGGCACAATGGTTCAACCTTTAATTGTGGACTTTTGGCACCCAAACTTGACACCTCGACAAAGAGCACCATCTTGTACATCATCATCATCATCATCATCATCATCATCATCATCATCATCATCATTGAACCTCAGCTAAGCTTTTGACCAGGATTTCAAAGGCGGGTGTCAAAATGTGACACCCACGTTTTGCTGGTGATGACATATTACCACAAACCACCGGTCGACCTGGTCAGACCACCTGCTCTTGTAGGCTTTATGATCAGAAGCAGGCATTTATAGAGGAAGTTGTTTATTGTGGATCACACAATATGCAATACATCACGGAATATACAAAGCACATTTCCAGCAATCACTACTGACAGGTTAAATGCAACTTGAAAACTTGATGTATGATCAGAATCAGATTATAAAAATGTTTTTGGAGACTGGATTATCTTCTAGCGGTATTCAAAATTATGGGCAATCACACCAGTTCAAAAAAGTTCTACTTGTTAGCCTATGAACTGATCTGCATGACTCTTTCGCATTCAACCAGCAGGACTACTTGGGATAGCAGCTATACTTCAAAATCTGTTCTGCCGCAAAAGATTGAAAGAAAAATAAAAATCTCGCACAGTAGTTACAAATCACACTGCAGGAGTCCTGATTACAAAACTCTATGTCTTAAGTCTCTAAGTACTATTCTAGTATACTTCTTTGGTTTGGCTGTCATAGCTGTAATGTAAAATGATTTTATTATTATAAAAAGGCTTTTAAAAGATTAATTCCAGATAAATCCTAGTGGCATGACCTTCATTCTAGGCTTCCAGCAAAAACCAACCTAGCACATCAATTTTGCTTGCCTTTAACTACAACACTGCTGCACCACAACCTGCGCGACAAATGTTCATGTCCTGCACAAAACGCCATGTATCTTTATCAGGATCATACACCTCAACACTGGAAAGCCTATGCGCACCATCAAATCCACCCAATACAAAAATCTTGTTGTCGTACACCGCCACAGATGGCCAAGCCCTTGGCGTGTTCAGAGGTGCAACTGGCTGCCACTGATGTGTCTGTGTGTTGTACCTTTCAGCGAGATCAAAGTAATGATCTGTGCTTCTGTTTCGGCCTCCAAGAGCGTACAGGTAGTTGTTGACAGCTACTAATGACATACCAGAGCGTGCTTTTTCTAGTTCAGTTACAAAGGTCCAGGTGTCTGTGTCAGGGTCATAGCATTCAACACTTGCTCTATCACTATGCACACCTCTGTCATAACCTCCAGCAATGTACAGCTTCCCTGTAACAAAGAATTACAAACAGTACTGGATTTCAGCTCAGCAAAATTTAGTGTCTTTCTGTTCAATTACCATGTACCATTCTGGCTCATTCCCACATCAGCTACTTGCTTTACCACATGTACAATAACAAAATTGATAATCCTATGAAAATGATATCTCCCCATTCCTTTCCTAACTTTACAGTAAGCCCTCATCCAAATCTTTCTCTCGCAAAATTGTTCCTGCAAAGAGATCCATCCAAGTACACTGACCTATGAGTTTTAAATTTGATGTGCCACATACTGTCTGATTGAATGCTATTTGAACCAGGCATTTATAGATTGTTTTCACATGACATCATCAAGTTTTAAAATCCAAAACTAAAGAGCAACCAGAGTTTTTATCCTCATCAGGTAAAAGAGGTGCGAAAAGTATGTATGTTGACAACTTCTCAGCTCAATAACATGCTTCGTTTTTGAAACTGGCCAGAGCAACTTAATTTCAGAGTTATGAAGGTGTGTGACATAGAGCTACCTATGTCGTGATTTTTAGTCATTCGTGAAGCAAAAGTAGTAGGAAAAGTGTCTATGGACATGTGGTTTTGTGCAGTATGAATAATCAGTGGCCTAGATGACTAAAGTAAGCTCCAGACGAGTACACAATTTTCCTGCCACCATATTGGTGTACCACAGAAGTACACCAATGTGGCAGCTCCATACTAGACTCTGTAAATTTGTGTGAAACATTTCGACAGATATCTGAAGTTTGGGGCAGCGCACAGACCTAACACTTTAAAAAGTGTCTTCTTTATTTATCTTCTACAAGACTGCATTTTCTTGACTTCATTTACTGAATGGTTTTTGGTTTAACTTTGCTTATTATGTGACAGGGAAAAACGATCTATTCTGAGCCTGGGCTGCCATCCATACAGTACGGCATGATGTAATTTTTACAATATAAACCCTTACAGTATAACTTTTTTGGTTTATATACAGTTAAAAAAGATAAGTTTTTTTTCTGATGCTGTTTATTAAGTATTTCTAATATATTTGTGCAAGATATGACCATGACTGCATTTGCGAAAGGAAAATATCTAGCCTTCTGCAGAGTCTAACATCACAGGCTGTGTTTCAGCTGTTTGACAGCTGTTAACATGTTTGCAGAGTCGTGATTCAGATGACCTGAAATCAATCAACCATGTATCAGCGTCAATATACAACAATGTGTGTTGTGAGAATTTCTATTTTAATAATCATTAAAAGTGAACAGTCTTTAGTTGTTCTTTCATTTTCTCAGCACTTGATTCATTATTGAAAACTCACTGCAGTTACATTGAGATGCTGACTCTGTATAACATTGGAAGCCAGAGAACAAAGTGTCAAATGATGTTTGTGCATGACACAGAATTAGTTTCCTCCATCTAGCCACCAATTCAGTGCAGTAATGGTATCTCAAAATATTACTGCAGTTTAGTTGGTATGATTGTCGGTATTGTTTAATACTAAAGTGGAACCCTGCCTTGCGTACCCCGCTCATATGACTACGTATATATCATTATTACAGTCACTTTATCCTAGCCCAAACAAAAGTTCAGTCGGTCATTTTCTTCTTTAAAGAACAGCTTTAATACAGCCACCACGCTAATATGACCAGATTTACGTGGCCCATTGATGACTGGATTAACAGGGTTCACCTGTAGTATTAAACTGATTTTTAAGGTTAGGTTTAAAATTAGGACACAAACCATCACAAACAGCCACTCCTGCCCCCGATCTCTTCCTTCGCATACACTGCACTGTACTCCAGTGGTCAGTCTTGGGGTCATATCTCTCGACGTAGTTATAACTACAAGTTCTGTCTTCACCTCCAAGGGCGTACAGATAACCATTTAATGCCGTCACTGCAATGAATGACCTCTGAATAGCAATGTCAGCGAGCGAAATCCACTGGTTTACTGCCGGGTCATAGCACTCCACATGTCGCACATACATAGTGTCGTCATGTGGGGCACTAACAGCACATTCACCACCCACCACATATAGCAAACCATTGAGACTACAGGCACCAACTGCAGTTCTGGGATATTTCATGTTTTGCAGCATAATCCACTGATTTGTTAGAGTGTCATATCTTTCTAAGCTTGACAGCTGACAATCAACACCATTTCGACCACCTATGACATAAACAGCTTGTGGCTGAGCTCGTGGTAATGTCATGTAACGAGGGAGGTTGCGTGCACTCTCGTTTAGAACCTTAGCCAATAACAGTTGGCAATCCGCATTGTTCTTGATAATCTTCGAAGGAAAAACTCGGGCTTCAAGAAATTCGAGCGTTAGAAGAGGAAGTCTTACGTTACTTAAAAGCTCAACTGCATAATCCTTTCGTCGACAGAAATCATGCAAAATCCACGCCTCCACCGCCTCGAACACTTGATTCTCAGAGCGAACCTGGAGCAGGTCTTCCCGTAAAAGATTCCGCAAAGCTTGTTTTGGCAGTTGTAAGAATTCCTCCCCTTTCGCTACATCCAAGAAGTGTTGACGGACAAAGCGATAAGCAGCTTCTTCAAGTTCTGAGCAGGAATAGAGATCTGCAAATGCTCGGATACCGAGACAATTTGTCGCATCTAGGTGTGTCTGAAGAAAACCACAACAAACCGATCTTAAACTCTGAAGATTTAATAACGAAGCGGCGGATAATAACGCTTGCACGTTCTCCACAGTCACATCGATGGCTCCAGTGTACGCAAAATCCAGCAATCCCTCCATGACACTTGCTTCAACTCCTTGCAATTTAATATCTTTCATGCCACTTTCCAACATACCATTTGTAAACATGGCACGCAAGTAAGAACTTGCTCCTGCAAGGACGATTCTATGCGCGGGAAATTGCCTGCCATCAACATGAAGAACGACATCGCATAACTCGCCTTTCCTTCGCAGATCGTTCATTGTTTTCAACGCATCGTTGGAATGCAGAGGGATATTGAATCTGCGATGCGCCGCCATTACTTCTACAGATCGTAGAATTTCCCTGTTCGATCCTCACGGCCAAAACATCATTTCACTTTCGTTGTTTTGCTCGATTTCCCTTCGTAATGTCCAAAATAAGGCGACATGTGATTGGCTCGTTGGCGTAATGGGCCAAAATAAAAGCACAATTGATTGGTTCATAATCAAGCAATGACGTTTTTACCGCTGTATTATTTATGTAAGTACCGTGGACTCAAGTTACGTGAAGAAACCCCCCTTATTTTTCCACGCACGTACCCTTGCATGAAATGCAAAATGCTTTTCCGACATTTCTAGAAATTGAATTCTGTCGGCAATGCATGTAACGTAAAATCCCATTGTTTATTCGATTCATACCTTCCATTCAAAGTTAATTTTTCCAGTGAGGAAATCTTCTAATTTCTCCCTTTTGAGAGAGTAAGGCAAGCAACATGTACAAAGTCTTGAACTGGCAGACTCCGCCCTTAAGTCCCAGCCATAAATTACTCTTTTATATACCATTTTTGGCAGAAAAGGTAACCTTTTCATAGACCCTCCACAGAAAGTGATACACTGCTTAAAAAATCAGTGATCGGTTCTAGCAGTTCTACTTTTCAGTAAAACCTGGATTCAGAAGCCGCAAAACTCCATAAAAATTACCTTCTCGATTTGTGACTTACGCGCAAAATGAACCTTACGTTAACTCGTTTCTTGTCGATTTCTGTCGTGGTGTTAATACTGCTGAAATAAGTGTCATTTGTTCCGATCATAA